AATTTCACTTCAAATCAGTCATACTTACTTTTGTATAAAACGGGTTTAGTCCCGCCACCACTTCAAAAACAAGTCAAAACATGCTTTTAAAAATTGTACGGGCATTACCATAAATTTACTTACCTCACTCGCATAAACTGAAGACTCGATTTCAGTGCTAAACTGACAGAACAATCAGAAACCTAATCAAAATATCCAAAATTAATTACCGTATCATGGATTCAAAAGTAAAATCACCATAACTACCCCCTCATCACGATGCTATTTCTATCAATCTCCACATTTGTTCTTATATTATAAACTAAACATTTAAATCCCCGTTAATTGATGGCCATCAGTGCGTAAACAGTATTCGTAAACAGTACCTACGCCGTGAATAGTACCTACGCCGTGAACAGTACTGCAACTTCCAAAAATTGGCCAAAACACTAACCAATTCACGGGATTTTCTCTCCAAAAATCACAACAGTCAATTAACTAATTTTCTACATGAATTAAGCTAAATCATGGTCTAATTACTATCAAATTTCTCCCCTATTTCCAGCAGATTTTCGAACACTCAAGGCAGCAAATAAATGGACAAATTCGGGGCTTGGAGGGCTGTCAACATACCAGAATTTTCCAGCCAGCAGAACCGGACCTGGCAGAGGGAGAAGCCGACGGCAAATGCAGGAGAAATTCAAGGGAAATCTACCGGAAATTGGAGAAATCAAGAGAAATCAGTGTTAACCCAAGCCAAATCAAGTGAGAAAAGGGAGATTCATGGCTGTTCTTACCGAAAATGCCCAGAATTTCGCACACCCATTAGCAGAAACCGACGGACAAGGGAGGAAGAAGCAGAGCCGATCCGGGATTTCTGGGTTGAGGGAGAGAGTTCTAAGCCCCAAATCTTGTGATTGAACAAGAAAGAAAGAGGAATTTCAAGCTCTTTTACCAGTTTTTTTTCCAAGGGAGGTGCGTCGGGCTTGGGGGCTTTTGTTCGGTGCAGGGAAGGAAAAAGAAGAGCAGACGCGCGGGCTGAAGAAGAAGAAAGAAGGAAAAAAAATAGTGGATCCTTATCCAAATCCTTTTCTCTTTTAAGTCCCTCAACTTTGGAAATTTTGGCTATTAAGCCCAAAACAATATTTTAAAACAATTTAGTCCTTAACTTAATGCTAAAATATCACAAAATTTTGGGGTATTACATCTATACAATAGAATATTCTTTGATACAAAACCAATTAACTTAGATGTATACAATCAATTACAATTTGAACATATTAATCTAGTGTGAAGACTAATATTCTAACATAAATGCTAATGTGAACATACTAATATAGTATGAATGCTAATAATCTAACATCCCGCAACCTTAAGGTGGTAGTCAAGAGACCAAATTGAGTTTGGAAAAAAGAGATTGGAAACATCCACAAAAGTAAGCCTTGGTGAACAAGTCTACAAGTTGATCAACAGAACTAGTGAAAATCATATGAACAGTTTCCTTCGCAACATAATGACGAATAAAGTGACAATCAATCTCAATATGTTTTATGTATTCATGAAATACATCATTGTGAACAATTTGTATAGCAATTTGTGTTGGCTCAATGCACTCCAAGAGGAGGGTGAATTGGAGTTCAAAAATTTTCACCTCTTTGAAACTATCAAACAAAAATTAAAGACAGAGTAGGGAAGAAGAGCTTGCACAATGATTTTATAGAGGTTCAGTCCAACCACTTGGAACCTAGTCCTTTACCTTGGCTCGTTCACCAAGAATTTCCTCTACACTCTCCACTAAGAAAAATAAAGGTGGCTCAAAGAAGTCACTCAATCTTTTTACAATAAGAACGGTATTTCTCTCAAATCTCACCCTTTTATAAGATAAACCTCAACAATCTTCTTTACAAATCACTCTTAAAGGAATAATCACACCCCTTAAGATAACACACAAGCAATGTTTTGAAAACCGACTTGGAGGTCAAACCGTTTTGACCTCTGGTTCTCGGTTTGATCGGTTTAACTAATTAAATTGTTCAAATTGTCAGTTTAATTACATATGAATAAATATAATATGATGTAATGATCTAACATGATAGATGTAGTGGCTTGACTGGTTTGTCGCTTTGCCCATCGTGGAGGAAATGCGTGTTCGAGTATGGTGGGCATTAAAATGTTATTATCATATTTCTAAACCTTCCATGTAAAATATATGTAATTT